AAAACATCCCGGCCCCTGCCGTTGCGGCTCCCCACCCACAACAATGCATTGTCTGGTATCAATCAGCCAACGGCGGTCAATCAACTACTGCACATTTCCTACGATGCTATGGGCCAGATGGTCTTTCAGATAGGCTGCCCGTGCCCTTTCTGCCAGCAGTGTCTTGTGCAACAGAGGCAGCAACTCTATTACTGGGCCCTTAACATCGACCACTATGAAGCCTTGATCAGACCCCAACCGGATCCGAGAGATTTCATCACTAAGCCTCCTAAGGAAGTCCTCAACATGATTGTGTCATATGTCATGGGCGGTTTTCATGACTGGCATCATTCTCCACCAAAGACCCCCATGTACGCCCAGCAGCAGGTCACGCCATACGGGTATGCACCATCCATGGCGAAACGTGGTGCCGGTTACTTGACCGATGAGAGGCTTCTCGGTCTTTCGCAGACGTGCAAGGTGTTTCGGGATGTTTGCCATGGCTTTGGTGCACACGATTACCTGATGGTTTGGGCAGAGTATGACCATTTTTAAGGGATGATTTCATGCGCCTTTCCTATCTCAACCGCGTTTCTTCGCTCGTCTCCCCAGTCAAGTAAGTAATCTCGTACTCTCAAGCTGAATGCTAACTACCCTCCTTCTCTGCCGTACATTGACGAATTTCAGAGTACTAATGGGATTCACCTGCTTATAGGCATCTGCTTATCAGATCCCCGGGTGGCATTGGTCGTGAGTATGTGAGCCGTTCATGCTGGGATGATTATAGGGAATCTTCCTTCCAAGATCAAGTTCGCAGCATCATCAGAGACATGGAACACCTCGTCTCACTTGAGTTGCATTGTCAGAAAAAGCCTTACGACACGCTGAGAAAGGCTCTTCTGAACCATTCCGTTCCTGGTGTCAGGAGCCTCACACTAAACTCTCTTTGCGCCAACATGGCAACCGTTCCTTCCCCAATCTGCATGTCTTGAGGAGCCGTTCTACAGCCATGTGAAACAGTGCAGATAACGAAGTGTTCAAATCGCTTCAGAGCTTGTAATTCATCGAAACAGCTTGTTTTCTCAAGAATAGAGACAACAGACTGAGACGTCAACATCAAACTTCCCGCAGTAAAGTTACTCGAGGCCCACTCTACAAGCCCTACCCGTCCGCAGAGAATGCAGTTCTTAGTCTGCCCCGTGCTGACATCCGATGTTATAACCAGTCCCTCTAGAACGTCTTCCTCAACTCAAGCATCTGTTTTGGGAGTTCAACGTCCCCCACACCCAGGCCGAAGATGTAAGCGTCGCTCAATCCAGCTCCATTGCGCAATCACCGATCAGTACAATATTTTGCTGACATCTAACCTAATTAGGCCAACATGATCGAGGCCCTCATGGCTCACAGCAACATCAAGAAGTTCACTATGTTGAGAAACTACGCTTACGAGCCTGTTAGCTATGCGAGGGTCTATGACAATGGAGCGACCGTCGCAAACATCTACTTCAATCGCGTCCCTCACCTTGAGGAGATTGGCATTTGCAATGCCCAGCCGTATGGCAAGATGCCTAATGACACCGGCAAAGCCTTCGTCAGGATCAGGACGAAGGTCAAAGCAACCAAACCAGTCGGCGCAGAGGATGGCAAGGGATCGGACAGCAAGCTGGACAAGACTAACAAGACCAACAAGACCAACAAGACCGACAAGACCGACAAGAACGGCAAACTCCCGGAAACCACCACGCACGAGTGCAGGAGGCTCTTGCGAGTCTACGACCGCACCCAAAACGAGGAGCACCGCATCAAGCAGCTCAAATTGGGTTGCATTCCGCCCACGACCGACCGCAGCCCCAAGCCGGCGGAAATCTATCGTGATCCGGAGTACTCAATGTTCGAGCTCGAGTGGAAGTGGGCGAAACACCAGACCCTCAAAGAGATGTAGGACCGCGAGCGCAAGGCTGCGGATGCTGCGAAGGCTAATGCTGCGGCTGCCTCTCCCGATGTACCCGCGGTCGAGGGTGTTCCTGCTGCTGAGCCTGTTTCTGCTGAGCCTCTTGGAAGCCCTGCTGTTTCAACTGCTGCAACTGCTGGTGGCTCATCTCCTTTATCGTCTTCGGTGCCTCCCGGAGATGACCCGGCCGCCGCCGCTACTCCTCACGGCGAAATCGTACCCGCTTCTGTCTTCGGAGGAGGTGCTGCCGCTGTTGCCAACGCTCCAGCTTCTCTTGCTTTCGAGGACGCTGGTCAAGAGAGCATTGCCGATGTCAATGGCAGCTCGTCGGAGTCTTCCACTCCCACTTAATGGTCTTCCCGTTCTCTGATCGCGCGCCAGCAGCTGATATTTCAGTTGAGAAGCTAGAAAACAGACCGGTGCTCCAGTCATCCATGCTCTTTCTTTGTCTCACCTCATCACCTTCTTCAACACTAATATCCTGCTTGCTGACTTTGTTCCCACCTACAGTAGTCAGCAACTAAAGCATTTTCGAAGGACATCAAGACAAAGCCATCAAAGAGGAAAGCACCGGCGCGATCAAGACCGACCAACAAGGAATGCATTCATGCACACGTACTGTACAAAACTACAAACTACAAACAAAAAAGTACCCGGCCACCATCAACCATCAACTTACAGGAACCCAGTCGATATCATGCCATATCACGTCATAGTCATTTCTACGAGCATCAAGCTTACGGAGATATCAGCCCATGACAAAGACCATGACTGAATGGATGTTGAGGACTGTACTGGTACCGGGTGAGTTAGGAATAAGAAGGAATTACAGTAAAGTAAAATCAGGGGAAACAACATTAATGAAGGAGAAAACGTGAAAAAAGTACATCTTTCTAGCTGTACATAGAAAAATGAACAAAAAAAGTTTAAAAAAATTTTTGATCGTGCGCGCTTGAATGAGAGTGGGTGACCAAGTGAACAAGGGAGTGTACATCGACTTTGTTGAGATCAGAGTACTGGTCACGTTAGAAATCCATTCGGAGGCTTGACACGACAGCTTTTCCCATCGCACCTGATTCTGTATGTAAGATCAATATTACACACTCGCCTGTTTTCATAAGCGTTATAAATTTGATTTCTCACTGATACTGGATACCTGAATTTCATCCTCTGGGGGCACCCAAGCGCAGTATCGCACTTTCTTTCACTGTCAGAGTTTTCGCTTGGTGTCAAACTACGTATCTTCTTTTCGTCGTCTTCCATTGTTAGATGATGCCCAACCCACCGGGCGCAGCCCAGATGCCAACAACTGAAGTTATTCTCAAACATGGTGGCTGTCGTTTTTGACAGTGGATTAGCCTTACGATGGTAGGCTCGAGCAAGAGAAAGAGGAATGAGTGAGAACAAAATGAAGAACAGTGGAAGAGGCACAAAAAA